TATTGTTATTTTGCAACGGTGCCTATTAATGAACATGTGTAGAGGCTATGCAAATTTGCATCATCTGTTGTTCATCTTCTTTGGCAATGGTGACCGTGATTCCAAAATGGTTCTCGAGCATAGCGAGATGTGACAAGGCTCGGCTCGATGAAATCATCAAGTTCCTGTAAGGCGGCAGCAACAGAATGCAGCGGACCTGTTGTACGTCTGTCAGCATGTTCTCTGGACATTTGCCACAGAACATAATTTGCCATATTTTGGCATCCGTTGCATCTGGACAGCTCAGCGACTCTGGTGCAGACTCAGAATAGATCAAACTGCTCTCAAACATACCCAGAACCAAAGAATGGAAAACATTTTTGGAAAACAATTCCGAGCCAAGCATGGCCAGCAGCCAATTGGACTGAAGGATTCTGGGAGTTGGTACCCAAAAGAGTAATTTTTTTTTTCAGACTCTATCTGGAACAGGGCCTCTCACAGAAACAAGATGGGGTGGGGGTGGGGGAGCTCCCAAATCTTTTAGGGGTGTAAGAGTAGAGCCTGTTCTCTATTTCAATTCATAACATGTATCTCATATTATTGACTCTTCCTTATTGCAATTCACAGAAGGTTTCTTGGAAATTACAGTATTGTTGAATGCATGATTTAATCAATTTGGCTCTGAAAACATCAATTCCCATCAAGAGCAAGGAACATGTTTGCGGATCTTAATACCCAAAGGACATTTCAAAAGCTGCCAGCACATATCAGTCTTGTTTAATACAAAACCGTCTTGCTATTAAATAAAACAGAGATGTTCATGGGGAACAATTTGATAGCCAGGAGCACACTAAGTGGGAATGACAAACTTGTCGTTTGCAAATGAAGTCCCAATATGCTGGAATTACTAAGCGCTTGCTATATTCATTCATTCATTCATTCATTCATTCATTCATTCATTCATTCATTCATTCATTCAATTTATATACCCTTCTCATTAGTGCTGAAGCACTACTCTGGGTAGTTTACATGTAATTAAGAGTTTAATACACAATGCCAGGGTGCAGCAACATTAAAAACCTCATTTACAAAATGGGTTGTTTTAAAAGGAGCAATATCCCTTAAAACAGCCTTTCTCTGCCAGGGGATTGCTCCACCACAGCTCCAGAAAATACAAGCTCTGCAAATGGACCAAAAAATGTCCAGCTTGGGCACCAATCAGCGTCAGACTTGTAAGTATAACTAATGAGCAACTTATCTAAAGCAACTTTCTAAGCTCTTTGGAGCGGGGGGGGGGAGATATAAATGGAATACATCACAGTGGAAATATGTGCAAACTAAATCTATGGTTTCCTGTGGTTCTGTTCCACTTCTGCAGGTCTCATGGCTGGATTCAAATCACTGTACAAGCAAAATAATACACTGAATTTGCTTAAAACATGCAAATGTAATTTGCACATCTTAAGTCATCACCAGGTGTGAAATGCTAGACCGGCTTACACAATTTGCAATTTGTGTCTCTTTATCTTTTCGTCGTCGTTTAGTCGTGTCCGACTCTTCGTGACTCCATGAACCAGAGCACGCCAGGCCCTCCTATCCTCCACTGCCTCCCGTACTGGTGTCAATTTCATGTTGGTTGCTTAGCAGACACTGTCCAGCCATCTCATCCTCTGTCGTCCCATTCTCCTCTTGCCGTCACACTTTCCTAACATCAAGGTCTTTTCCAAGGAGTCTTCTCATGAGATGGCCAAAGTACTGGAGCCTCAGCTTCAGGATCTGTCCTTCCAGTGAGCACTCAGGGTTGATTTCCTTTAGAATTGATAGGTTTGTTCTCCTTGCAGTCCAGGGGACTCTCAAGAGCCTCCACCAGCACCACAGTTCAAAAGCATCAATTCTTTGGGGGTCAGCTTTCTTTATGGTCCAGCTCTCACTTCCATACATCACAACAGGAAAAACCATAGCTTTGACTATTCGGACCTTTGTCGGCAAGGTGATGTCTCCGCTTTTTAAGATGCTGTCTAGGTTTGTCACTGCTTTCCTCCCAAGAAGCAGGCCCCCTTTAATTTCATGGCTGCTGTCTCCATCTGCAGTGATCATAGAGCCCAAGAAAGTAAAATCTATCACTGCCTCCATATCTTCCCCTTCTATTTCCCAGGATGTGATGGGACCAGTGGCCATGAGCTTAGGGGTTTTTTGATGTTGAGTTTCAGGCCGTTTTTTGCACTCTCCTCTTTCACCCTCATTACAAGGTTCTTTAGTTCCTCCTCACTTTCTGCCATCAGAGTGGTATCATCTGCATATCGGAGGTTGTTGATATTTCTTCCGGCAATCTTAATTCCAGCTTGGGATTCCTCCAGTCCAGCCTTCCGCATGATGTATTCTGCATATAAGTTAAATAAGCCGGGGGACAATATACAGCCTTGTTGTACTCCTTTCCCAATTTTGAACCTTTATCTTTTAGCCATGTATAAATGATTGCCATGTAGTCTCACTCTTGTGTCTGAGGAAGTGGACTTGATCCACAAAAGTTCTCATTTTTTAAAAAAAGCTCTTAGTCTTTAAGGTGCCATGTTCTGTCGTCTTTATTTTGTTTAGTTTAGTTTCAACCCAGAACTGAGACATTAGCATTTTGACATCATGCCATTGTTGTTACACAAACACACAAAAAGCAAAGGCTGTTGAGCTGTACTTGGTTCTCTAGCAGGGTAGCAGGGTTTGGGAAGCCAATATTAATTTCAGTGGTGAACTTGGCAAGAGATGGATTGGAACAAAACCAACTGAAAGAAGCACTTGAAAACAAGTTAGGGCTTGGGCTAAGTCTGTTGGTTAGTGTGGGCAGACATGGAAAGGCAACCATAGCCAGCTCAGGTCAATGCTGCGTAGCAATTGACGCTGAGCTAGAAGTGTAAACACTGGAAACAGCAAACAGGCAAATTGCTCGATTTTCAGGAAAGGCTCAACCACATATCAAGCATGTATTACCTCAGCGACCAAAATCATGTTGCTTAGCATAGTAAATCATATTACTGTAGACTCATTGAATCAATGGGTATTTGGTGAGTCAACTCCTCCATAAGGTCCAGTGATTCAAATGAACCTATGACTTCAGCACAGTAGGCCCATTAAAATCAATAGAACTTACAGAGGACTTTATACATTTTAAAAAATCCCTTGAAAATAGGCCCTAATACTATTTTTGGAGCAAAAATTAATATAAGACCTTGTCTTATTTTCGGGGAAACACGGTACTATCATGAAGTCTTCAAAACATTGATAGTCACGCTTTGGATAATCAAGCTGCGTCAATGACTGAGATGTAAATAAATAAATGAACAAATCTTAGAACTGCAGAGCTGGAAGGGACTCTGTAGATCGCTGAGTCCAGTCCCTGTCAAGGGACACATTGAACTTCCAACCTCTGGTTCTTGCAACCTAATACAGTACTTAAAGCACTCAGCTATGTAGCACTCCATGTGTAGCCTTCAATTCTATTTGGGCCCAGAACGGAACGCCCCCTGCTGGCGGCACCTTCATGTAACTTCTTAGGAACCCCCTGTAGCACACAGACTAGTGCAATACGTGCACTTTCTCTGTTTCAGCCATTCTCAAAGTTTTCCTTAGCAGGAATTAAACACAGTAAGACCATGGTATCCAAGGGGAATCTTTTCCAAGCCCTCATGTAGATATGGAAAACCATGGATAATAGCAAACCCTATATATACCATTGTCTCTGTTTCTCTCTAGTTGCCAGTTTTGGTGATTACATGGTGGAAATACGTATAAATACATACTTGGGGGGGGGGTTAATTTTTTTAACATCTCCAGACCATGGATAAGTGAAACAGTGGATACTGAACCTGTTGATACTGGGGTCCAACTATAATATTAGCACCTGCAGCAGAAGCCACTCCTTGCATCAGCAGATTGCACATTTTAGACACAAGAATTTCTTCCATAGCGTTGAGCAATCCTTACAGATTTTCTGTAAGGATGCTGGTTTTGCCATAACTATCCTCACTTTCCATTAGCGTGTAACACAAAAACTTATCCGTTCTTTTGACTGGCTTTGCTAGGAGCTGTTCCCATGTACACATCTTCTCTGTGAACTATTTATTGGCTTAGGGAAGGATGCTTCGAAAAATGGAAGTGCAGACAGATATTAGCAATACTTCATACCCGCTAGATACCAAGCAATTCAACCTTTCCCAGCCTGATTGCCTTTTCCAGAGAATCCTGTCTTCTCATGATGTGGCCAAAAAAGGGCAGCGTCAGTTTCTTCATACAAGATCATGGGCGATCCTGGTCTCCAGGGCCACATCCTTCCTTCTTTCCTAATTTCTCCACGGGCTGCCCTCCCTAGTCTCTGTCTTCTGCTGATGTCTTGGTTGCAGCCTCCCTTTGACTGAGCCGAAGTATACAAAATCTCTGTTTCGTGGTCAAGGCTGAAGTTGTGTAGTTCTTCTGCAGTCGTGCTTTTATTTATTTATTTATTTTGGTCTTCTTAACCTTCAACGGCATTCCTGTTTTGGAATTATACAATGGAGGGGGAACTATTTTGCTCTGACAGAGAAGGCCGGGGGAAAAAAGGGACGCTTTGCACATGACCAGAGGCGCTCTCGTGATCCTCACTTTTAGGCTGTCTTCCCTCCGGCAGCTGCGGCTCCGGAGCGTAGGAACTGAACCCGGTTTAGTTCCGGAGAGCTCCGTTCAAGCCCTGCCCATAGACCGCCTCCTCCTCCTCCTCCTCCTTCGCCTTTCCTCTTCGGAGGCTGGGCTTCCCTCCGTTCCGGAAGGCTGGTGGGCCGGGCCGGGGTGCGTAGTTCCCGTCGGCTGGAGAGGAGAAGGGAGGAAAGGGACCGGCGAAGAAGGAAGGAAGGAAGGGAGGGAGGGAAG